AGTGGTAAACGTCGCCTATAAATATGTGCAGTATTATGAACATAACAGAGTATACTGTTTCGCCCATGATACCATGCGTTGCCATTCCTGAGGACTCAGATGTTATTCCTCTGTACCCTGTAAATTCACGCCATGATTGTGAGTGGTACGATGGTAAAAGGTGGCTGTAGGCACGTAGGCATGGTGATACCCAAATATGGCGTGACGTTAAAGCACTATTTATAAATAGAAATTGACAAGTGATTATTTTCTCAAAAGCCCAATAATGAGTACGCACCAGTTTCTAATTCGTTTTAATTCAACACGTTGGATTCAAAGGGTCTAAATAACAATACACAATAGTACCAGTTGGCGAGGACACGTATACAGTCAGTGTGCAGGCAAAGAGCACAATTTATTGACGTTCCGTGATTTCGGAAGGTAATCGGAATCGTACGTGGCTGGTGGTGGCTGGTAGTTCCGCGTTTAGCTGCCAATGACTGTTCACATTCGTAACTCGGGGTGGAGTCGCGTTCTGTTCGTAACATATTAGCGTTCCGTTCCGTTATTAGTATTGATAGCTTCATAATTGTGTTGCTATTTACATTCTAATAGATTCTATAGACGTAGAATATATTACTTCTGTGTCCTATATAGTATTTATTTATTTGTACGCTTTTGTACATTCACTTATGAAATAGATATTAGGTTATAATAAAAATGTACATAGGCAGACTTATCCTTTAAAGCGATTTCTTCAAGTCAACTTTGCAAACCCAAAAGGAGAACGTGTACATAGGGTTTGTATATAAAGCATAACATATATAATGCAAAAATAATATTAAATATTAGTATATGTATAATAAATTTTATAATAATCGGTTAAGGTGCAATAAGCTGACAAACAAACACAAATTTTGAAAATAGGTTTATAAGTGACGGAGTTGGGCGGATTTGGATAGTTATGGGATTTATAGCTAACAATATATCTTACCTGATTAATCGTGATTAATTCTTAAGGAACACTTTTTACTTTAATCACGATGGATTAATCGTCTTGCTTATACCCTCACCTGTCTGTCATATGTCATGTCATCTACAGTAAGGCGGTTTTATTGCTGAGAGCGATCTTCTCAAGACAACCTTAGGGTAATGGACTAATTGTTGTACAAGCAGGTATTGTATAATTAAGAAAGTTAACAGCGTAAAATAAAATAAAAAAAAAAAACTATATGAAATTTTACATGAAATTTTACTAATGAGTCCTTTTGTTTAAATTAAATTGTAAACGACAAAGTACTGCTTTATTTAAATATTTAAACTATTACATTATCTTTACGTGACGGTGAATTTTGAACTTTTGTTGTCAGTGTTGTAGCTACGTCACGTTTTAAACACCAACGGAACGCCGATTGTCCCCGCTTCAAAGCGAATAGTTCGAAAGCGAGAGTTCGGTGGTAGTATTTTAATTAAAGTTTGGGAGTTGTACGTAAAGGGGCACCTCTATCTGATCATTAACTTTATTCATTAATCGAGTTTCAGCGATTTGGTGGCATCGCCGCCGGCGGTGTAACGGCTTGTACCCTTTGGTCAGGGTTGCCATATGTGAATTTTGATTTTTACCCAAACGTCAAATGTTTTTTCTTTAAATCGATATGGTTTTTCGGATTTAATACCCTGTCACAGAGTTGTATCGTTTTTCACTACGTTTTACCATGTGGTAATCAGTTTTATCATTTCATTAAATCAGTCTTTAACTGTCCACTGAACATAAGTCTTCCCTATAAGGGAAGGTTTGCCAGTAGTTACCACGCTTGGCAGGCGGGTTGGTAACCGCAGTTAGGCTTTGGTGATGTTTTAAGATGGATGATGTTGATATTTCTCTCTCGACCATTAAGTTCCCTTAGTCGACCCACGGGATAGGAAGGGATGGCCTGTTTTATGACGGTACCATTTAGCGTCTTCGGTCTTCACTTATATATTTTACTGTAAATAGAATAGAATAGAATAGAATAGAATATCTTTATTTCCTTTAACAAAATTAGCCTATGGTACAATATAGCTATGACCCCACACTAGGCAAAGCCTGTCTTGTGGAAGGCAAAGCAATACCTTATATACGAATAAATACGAATAATAAGTACCTTATATACGAATATTTATACAGAGTTTACAGCTACTAAAATTTTGGTCCAAAAATTATCACAAAATTATCCGAATTTCTCCAAGTTCATTTTACTTTTCATCAATAATTTCTTCAAGAATTAATTTTTTTTTTAAATTTCATGACTAAAAATTTTTACCCAATATTGCGAAGAATATACCCTATCTAGCAACACCACCCTTAGTATTGTATATTGGCGCTTTTTAAAAAATGCTCGTAATGTCTTTCGACCATGATTTCACCAGAGGAATACTTTGTACAAAAGTCGATTGCTTGGGTACCTCAGTCCCAACTGTGTTTGTATGGCTGTGTTTCGGTTTGAAGGGTGGAATATGGCGTGAATTTACTAGGTACAGAGGAATAACGTCTAAGTCCTCAGGAATGGCAACGTATGGGGGGTATCATGGGCGAAACAGTATACTCTGTTATGTCCATGGTACTGTTCATGTCTATAGGCGATGGTTACCACTTTCCATCAGGTGGGCCGTCAGCTTGTATGCCATTCTAAGTTGTTTAAAAAAAATTATTTGATGGACTTATACAAATGAGAAGTCGTTAGATAAGGAGATATTGTAAATGTGAGAGTTTAAGTAATATTTTTTTGTATGTTCGTTTGTTTACGTTTTTATTTAGTTCTAAACTATACTTTCGTATAATCTGGTGATAGAATAGAACGTATCGCTATTAATCGCTAATAGAACGTATTCCTTAGGAAGCCTTTGACATATATCCTTACAGCAAGCCGTGTGTTTATAGTAAGTGAATAAATTAAATAGAACGCTTCTCTTATAAAGGGAAACCCGAGAAGTGTTTTAGATCGTTTAACAGGTAATTAAAGTATAGTTAATTTTAAACTACGTTAGTTTTAAATTGTATTATTATTACATATTTCAAATACATTATTTATGTATATTTAATTTGCCACATAATCACACCAATTGCCTAGTCATTAATTTTGTGTTGTAAGGCACATCGATCAATAGTTAATTTTTTCAGATTAGACTGAAAGAGAATTGAAACTGGTCCTTCTTTTACAAAAAAACGACATGATTACCACTGTGCCATGAAGTCCTCAAAATAAGTTAAAATAAAGTTAAATCTTGTTAATGGAAATAAAACTCATTATTGAATTGATAATTATATTTTGTAATAACTTTACATACTTTTCGTAAATGAAAAAGTCACTTAATAAATCTATTAGGTTTTTTTATATGTAAAATTTTCTATTTATTTATTTATGCTTTTGTACATTCATTTTTAATATAGATAAATACTCTTTATTGTTTTATCCATAAGATTACAATAGTAAACTTATTTAAAAAATAAACTATTACAAGAAGATATCACTTGTTCATTGAGAAAACAATTAGCAGCCTTATCGCTAAGATATTATATTTAGATATATATTTAGTTTCATCCCAACCATCTGGACGAGTGGCGGTCTTTCACCGTGCGTTTTTCGAGGCACTTTTTTCCACGCACAACCATTCTTTGGAATCAACTTCCAGCAGCAGTATTTCCGAACCGATACGACAACATAACCTTCAAGAAAAGAGTATATTCCTTTTTAAAAGGCCGGCAGAACACCTGCAATGCCGCTGGGGTTGTGGGTGATCATGGGCGGCGGTAGTCACTTACCATCAGGTGAGCCGCATGCTCGTTTGTCCCCTGTGTTGTAAAAAAATAAATATATTAGGATATATTTAATATAGATATTAGGTTATAACAAAAGTGTACACAGGCGAACTTATCTTTTAAACGGATTTCTTCCAGTCAACCTTTAGAACACTATTCGAGAAAGCATTTATAGGGTTTGTATGTACATTTAAAGTATAACTCTTAAACTTTTCTCTCAAAAATTTCAATTCTATTAAAAACTCAGATTTTTTTATTAATTAAGCACATAAGATGCTTTTTTCTATTTAATCTCATATAATTTTCTATTTTAAAATTAACTTCACAATTCTATTAAAGGCTCCGCGAGACGTAATGGAGGGCCATTTTTCCTTTACATTCTTTCCTTGTTTAGCATCATTTTATAAAAAAAGTAAAATAAATGACAAACCTTTATTTTATTGGCAACAACAAAGAAGTGGGACCAGGCCCTCATTTATGCAAGGGCACGAATATAACCAGTGCGTTACGGGGACTGTTGAATGATGAATATTAGGACTTAACGAGATTTTTCGGTGGAACCCGGAAGATATTCCGTAGCAGTAAAGTCCGTAGCCAAATAATGCTACGATAATTACCTACACAAAATATGGAGTTAAAATATTTAATATCATTTTAAGAGTGTTCTGCTAATGACAATGATACCAGAGGGAGACTTTGTACACAAGTCGTTTGCTTGGGCACCTCTGTCCCATTCGTGTTTCTCCCGTGAAACAGTTGTGTTTGCATGGCTGCGGACTCAGGTGTTATTCCTCTGTACCCTGTAAATTCATTGCCATATTTCACCCTTTAAACAGAAACACAGCCGTGCAAACAAAACTGCGTCACGGTAGTAACACGAACAGGACAGAGGTGCCCAAGCAAACGACTTTTGTACAAAGTCTCCCTCTGGTAAGTATATAAGTAATATTTAATATAACTATAACATTATAATATAAATGGATATAGTACTTATATTATACTTGTATATATCATAAAATTATTTATACTATTGAATGAATGAATGAATGAATGGAAACTCTTTATTGTTCCCTTCAAAGAATGATACAGATTACAAGGTTTAACAATATGTACGTAAACAAAACAAATACTTAATTACATAAACTGTTACTTAAAACTGTACCTTTTTCAGTAAACATTTAATTGTCGTATTATATTTAAATTAAGCTAATTAATTACTGGTAGTTTTGGTTAATTTTTGTTTAGTTAATTTAACTAATTTAATAAAACATTTTCACAACGAAAACATAACCTTCTTTTTAGATTTATCTTTTTTGTTTTTCATTATACGTATTTTTTTACTATTTCTCTTTGCTTTTGTAGGCACACCGCTCTTTGGATCTTTAGTTCCAGAGTACCAGTTCTTGAAACAGTACCAAAATAGTTGTAAGATTTCCAATAGGCTGAGAATACTGCAGCCAAAAAACAAGTTGAAAGCTCCGCCTAATTGGGCTGTAAAAAAACGAGTAGAAATTTAAAATAAGTTTTTTTTTTGAGAAAAAAGAAAACAGTAGATCTTATCGTGGTGCCGAAAGTGTATGAGACTAACTTGAAAATAAACTTAGAATTGGCAACGACGTAACATAAACATAATTAATAAGCTTATTTTTTTTTATGGGTAAATTTTACCATTTTTACCCATCAAAAAAAAGTAAACCTAATAAAATTATAATCTCATTTATAGAGGTTAGTTATAATAATAAAGATTGACTGTATGAGTACTTACAAAACAAATCGGTTTGTCCAAAGTAAGCGTGGCGCTCGTTCGAGTTGATCTTCCGTTTCAGTATGTACACTCTGACTATACTTACCTTTGTCAAGTCCAGATCGTCGCTGTAAAAATAGATGAGTCTTAATTATTTTTACCTAGCTCCCCGTCTCAGCTTCCCATAGGTGAATGGGGGAAAAAGTAAAAATAGTTAAAGGTTGTGTCTTACAAAAAAAAAATGGCTTAAGTTGTGACAAAGTCAAAAATTTTGATTATAAAATTGAACTACTCGATCGATTTTGATTAAACTTTCCATTAGACCAATTCGTAAATATATCCTGGCAGATAAAAAAGAAAGAATTTTCTAAATCGGTTTAGAACTGTCGATATGAGGTTATGAGGAGGTTATGAGGTATAAAATATATATAAAAAAATGCAGCCAAAAAGAAAACCTCCATCTTTTTGAGGTCGGTTAAAAATGTGTTTAAAGAAATTAGGACTTCTCTTTTTCAACAATTTTTATTTTTTTTATACTATTATTTAAACACTTATTGTTTATAAAACCTTATTCTCACAATTGTAAATACAACAAAAAAATAACTCGGATATTTTTTCTCCTTTTTCTTCGGTACTAACTTAGTTACAACTTAACATTTGAAAACACATTTTTATTTCGCGTTTGTACCAATTACAATAAATTATTCTCCAGTCTTGATATATTTAGTAACTCGATTGCAATGTATAAAAAGTTTATTAGGAATATAGAATTCATTGTGACAGTATTTACGTTTTAGTATATTCCTTTTTTTTTGTACTTATTGCTGTATTTCGAACCTCGTTTGCTCTGTATGTTATATTTAATAGTCGAATTTTTTTTGTTTTTTTTTTTTATTTCTGTTAATTAAACTCTTTGTTTACCAAATAAGAATAAAATAATAATAATTTTACTTAGATACTGCCCGCATTGTACGCCGGTTTCTCTCTGTCTTCTGAGCCGGTTTCGGACTGTGCTTCTGCCGGGGGTTAGTTGCCATCTCCTCTCCTTAAGAGGGGAGATGAGAACTTTTGTAAAATTTTACTTACTAAAACGGGTCGTGGTAGTAACTGCCGGGCATCAGGTCATTGGTGGTGTATATAGGGTATTCCTTGTCCACGTTACAGGTATGAATGCAATCACATTGGTCAATGTTCAGAGAGACTGCAACAAAGGATAATGTATAAGAGTAGATAAACAGACGTACAAAAATCGAATCGGATCGAAATACAAGTGAAACGATTACGGGATAAACAGAGAAAGAAACCATTTAAAAACTTTTGCTCCACAAATAACCAGCAACTTATCAACACACCGACATAGGGGGGAAAGGGATTTTTAGCAATGGAGTTAGACAGCCCCATTGCTAGCATATGTCCTATTAGGTCGACCTCCACGTGGTTCCCCTGGAAACCATCGTAAACAATTCTTGTAGAATTTGTCACGATGGGCTAACTGACCTGATACACTGGCGGGGCACCAGTGAAGGATGATAGATGAGGATGAAGCAGGTCAGTTAGCCCATCGTTACAAATTCACAATGAATCAATCACGATGGTTTTCAGGGGGAACCGCGAGGAGGTTGACCTGTGGCGGGCAGGTTGGGAACTGCAGTTAGGCTTTGGTGATGATTTAAGAGGTATACTTTCATTAATTTATTAAATTATTTTTTTTTTATATACCTGATGCAAATTTGGCGCACTCTAATAGTTCAGGCGGACAACGCACTACATCCGGGGGCGTTGGGTACGCCATCATCGAGCACTGGCATTCATGTAGCACGTGAGCCATTTCACATTCCAAAAGGCAGTATTTTCTGCGTGTAAAATGATATAATACGTTCTTATATAGGTATTTTTTGCCTGCTATGCGTGGATTTCATTGGTAGGAAAATTGATGAAACAGACTACTTATAGATAAAGTACCATATGAAGATAAAACATACACTAATTTTTAAGTTATATTTTCGGAACATAACTTGAATAACATAACATAATTATGAAGGGTGAGATATGGCAGTGAATTCACAGGGTACAGAGGAATAACACCTAAGTCCTCAGGAATGGTAACGCATGCGGGGTATCATGGGCGAAACAGTATACTCTGTTGTCCATGATACTGGTTATGTCTATAGGCGACGGTTACCAATTTCCATCAGATGGGCTATCAGTGTGTGTGCCATTCTAAGTTGCATAAAAAAACTGTAAAAACTGCATCCAATTTCGTGCAATAATTTTTGTATGATGTAGGAACAAACATAGTTCTGTATGTTTAATTTTTATATATTACCAATATTGTTAATATCTGAAATGACGATGGTGATAAAAAATACGTGATACTTATGATAAACGGGGAAATATTTTAGTCCTTCTTCGGTAAGTCGACAACCACGCAGTCTGGTTTCTAAATGTTTGGCATTATCTGTCAGTTGGAAACCTTTGAGCCTGTGCCGAACCCACATTTCAACGCCGGGCGATAGCGGAGTCCCATTCAGGGGAGAGTCGACGTAGTTTTGAGCACTGCTGGTAGCTACCTGGAACAGACCATGCAAGAGACCGACCAATCATTAAAAAGTTAAAGGATCTCAGTACTGTAAATGTAATTTAATTATTGCAATTTATGTCTGAGGGAGAAGTCAGTTTTTAAAACATGTATATTAATCCATAGTAAATACATCAGCATTCGTCGTCATTGTTATTTCGGCCATTAACTGTCTACTGCTAAACATAGGTCTCCACCACTCCATAAGAGAGGGGGGGGGGGGGGGGGGGGGGGGGGAAGGAGGTTGCCAGTAGTTGCCAAGCTTGCCATGTATGCAGGCAGGCGCGTTGGCAAACGCAGTTAAGTTTTCATGATCTTTAAAGAGGAACACTGTTACTCATCCCTTGACCATTAAGTTACCTTAGTCGCCTCTTAGATAGCCATAGGAAAGGAAACGGTGGCTTGTTCTTGCCGGGACCACACGTAAGAGATGACTAAAGGGACTTAATAGTAGAGGGGTAGGCAGCAGCGTCCCTCTTACAACATTATTAAAAGCCTATCTGCGGTCGCCAGCCCGCCTGTCAAGCGTGACAACTACTGGCAAAACTTCCCTTAAGAGAAGGCTTATGTTCAGCAGTGGACAGTTAACGGCTGAAATAATGATGTTTACTTAAAAAAAACATGTTCTTTTTTTTTCAACACAGGGGGCAAATGAGCATGCGGCTCACCTGATGGTAAGTAACTACCGCCGCCCATGGTCACCCACAACACCAACGGCATTGCAGGTGTGCTGCCGGCCATTTAAAAGGCTTTTTCCTTACCCATTTATAATATGCTCCTTGCCCATTTATAACATGCTCCTTGCTCATTTGTTATATGCTCCTTGCCCATTTATAATATGCTCCTTGCCCATTTATTATATGCTCCTTGCCCATTTATAATATGCTCCTTGCCCATTTATAATATGCTCCTTGCCCATTTATTATATGCTCCTTGCCCATTTATATTATGTTCCTTACCCATTTATAATATGTTCCTTACCCATTTATAAGAGAGATCCACATTGCCATTTCGATATTCTGCACTTTGATTCACAACAAACAGCAAATTGTTCTTGAAACCTATCTTCGTTGTAAAATATTTATTTTTGGGCATAATTTTATGGATACCATATTTTTTTATTTCCCTAAAAACAAAGTTAATTAGTTATCATAATAAGAGGTCACGAGCAACAAACCCTTATATTTACGATTCGTGCTCAACGTAACAATCTGTTGACGTCCCATAAGATTATGGTGTCCCATAATTGGTCCTCTTAAAGAGATATATGATTAGCTTTTACTGAATATTATTACTATAGTTTTCCTCGTCTTGCCAAAGAAAATTGCGTCTTGCTCCCCTAGTTGTCTTCCATGACGTTTAGGGTATGAAAACAATTGGGGTTTGGTATGAATACAATTGTACCCCGTTACCATACAGACAGGACAGATAGACTTCTCTATTTATCTCAGAAAATTGTACAGCGTAAGGTTCAGTTTTAATTTCAGTTAAGTATGTAAACTTTTTTATGCAACTTCAAATGGCAAACAAGCTGATGTTCCACCTGATGGAAAATGGTAATCGTCGCGTATAGACATGAACAGTACCATAGACATAACAGAGTACACTGTTTCACCCCCTCACCCTCAATGCGTTGCCATTCCTGAGGAAATTTCTGTTAGTCAATCAAATGCAGTATTTGTTAGTAATATGCAAATGTTTGCCAGTCTTGTCATGCAAATAAATACTTACTGTAAAAGGGATCTTCCATTAAACACGCAAGCGTAACCATATCCAGTTATTTCCAATTTGAAAAGAGATGTACAGTTTACCATTTTTTCGAAATAGCGACATCTATGAATAAGATAATAAATTAACAAATCGAGACATTCAGTGAGTCGATAGATTTTTTATTTGTACTAAAATTAAACATTGGCAGACTGTTTTATGTTTGCGTTATTTGTTCGTTTGTTTATATTTTCATTACATTTTGAAACATAATGATTTTGATTTATACCTGTAGTCAGAGTTGAGCAAAATACATACCTCTCTTTAATTAAAATACAAATAACAAAATACAATATTTTATAGTCATGTACATTATATACAAAATACAGTATTTTAACTATTTTTATTAAAAATACAAGCTATAAAATGTAATATTAAAAATACAGTCAGGTGTTAGGTAATGTAAATAGAATAAAGCTTATCCATTCCAGCCTATTTTTTGTGTAATTTATAATAAAAAATAAGCTGTCGATCTACCTGATAGAGAGTGGTAACCTTCGCCTATAGGCAGGAACAGTATCATGGGCGTCACAGAGTATACTGTATCGCTCAGTAGAGTTGTTTTTTTTAAGAAACTACGTCATTAGCCGTATCTAATTATGAAAAATATATCTTTATTTTTAAAAATAACAATTGATGATTAGCTAATTGTTAGTCCAATTTACTAGAAAAAATTCACAATAGTTATAAAAAAAAAAAACTGTGCAGACTGTGCGGGGAGAATACGGAATCCATGGAACACTTGATGTGCAACTGCGATTCGTTGGCAAGTATGCGTATGAATCTACTGGGAACGGCTTATCCAGAACCAGGGGGCTACAGATATCTTAAGCCGCGGAATATAGTTTTTTTTTAAGGTTGAAAATGGAATGGTAACCCCTCCTGCACTAACGGGATACGCTGGCAGAGCACCAGTGAAAGGTGATAGATGAGAATGAAAACAGGCCAGTTAGCCCATCATGATGAATTCATCAGGAATTAATCATGATAGTTTCCAGGGGGAACAGCGAGGAGGTCGACCTGGTTGGGTATATTGCTATCAATGGGATTCTCAGTCTCCATTACTAACAATCTCTTTCCCCCCGCGGGATATAGTTAAGGTAAGACATAGGATTTATGAAATGACGGTATAAGGCAGGGGGAAGTATAAAAGATGCTGATGGGTCGACGTGCAACGGCTTGGATGACCCCATATGCGATAAGATATAAAAAAACAAATTGTCATATTACTCAAGTTATTTTTCGATTTTTTTTTTGAGTATCACTAACATATAAAGGTACGTACCTCAATATTGCTTCTTCACAAGATAAAGTTAGTTTTCTAGCTGCAGTATCGACATCTATAGAGTTATAGTTAAGTAAAAATGTAATGTTGTTTAAGTCGTCTACAGTATAGTGTACGTCTGGACTGAAGTAAGCTGCTAACTGTTTTATGTTGCTTCGTATGTAGTCCTTGCTCAGGCCCGGTGGAAATTTCCTACAAGTTACTAACATTTAATCATTCGCCTTGTATGTTTTATTTTATAAGGTACTGGATTTAACAATATTAAGGTAAACTATGATACAAAAATTATATAATAAATGTATAAATTATATGTAAGTGAGTACATAGTTTCGCGTAAAAATATATTTTTAATGTAAAAATATTATTCTACTTTACAATTTTTAAATACACGAAATAAAACTATACCAAACCAACTGGCCAGGCTATAGCAGGAAGCTATAGCTACCTACTATTGAAAACAGTAAGCAGTAAGTTAATGAGTTGTTAGGAAAGGTTTAATTCTTTCTTACTTATTAAGTAATTACCTTAAAAAACACATCATTTAAATTGATATTACAACACTAGTGATTCAGCCGGCTTCGCACGAGAAAATAGAATTTTCAAAAGTAATATATATATATATTATTTTCTTTCGTCACTCACTAGTAACATAAATTTCTATAGATGAAAGAATTTTTAAAATTGTTTTAAATAGTTTTTGTTTTTATCCATTATAAACAAACATACAAAATATCAAATATTTCCTCTATATATAATAATATTTATATACATATAGAAAAACATACAACTTACAACTCAGAAATGAATGCGTCTATTTTATAATCGGGAAAATCTATTTCAGGGTACAGCAGAACTGAAGGGAATTCCAAAATGGTTTCAATTCTCTCGCGTCGCAGAATGAACGTTGGCTTGTCCACGTATCGCATTACTGTCACATAGACCACGTTACTCGAGCACCATAGTAACAGAAATAGGCATATTGCTATCATACATCTGAAATTAATAATATATACAATATACCTTACTATATCAGCCATTAATTTTTTTTTATACAACTTAGAATGGTAAACAAGCTAACGGCCCAGCTGATGGAAAGTGGTAAACGTCGCCTATAGACATGAGCAGTACCGTGAACATAACAGAGTATACTGTTTCGCCCATGATACCCCCCATGCGTTGCCATTCCTGAGGACTCAGGTGTTATTCCTCTGTACCCAG